GTTTTATCTTCCTTAGAATATCCTTGCTAATAATGTGTATTAATTAAAATTATTATTTGATAGAATATTTATCATGTGTGACAATTATGAAGACTACTTTGGAAAAAATAAATAAATATAAGAGATAAAATGGATGAAAGTTTTATATTTAGGATTAAATTGAACGTGAAACTAGCTCTTACATTAAGAACAGAATATAATATTTGTTTGGGCCCAAAAATTTAGTGAGTTGGGCCCAACATTTTTTTTCCCATCTGTTAACAATTCGTTTAATCCTCAAAACTTCTAATAAGCCATGATAGGCATTAGCTAAAGCTGTTTAAGTTTGATCCAAATGAACTTAGGCAAAATGGGATGAAGGAGTTACAAATTTGCACTATTTATTAATGTACTTCTAGGATAAAGCTTAAAACAATGAAGAGATTAAAGGCATCTAAGTTGGGGGCCTTAAGCAATCACCAATTTGTGTACACATACAATCCTAAGGCTGTTCACAGGATGGAATAAGACTGGGATGGTCCCATCCTAGTGAATAGGGATGAGACAGAATTTTCATCTTATGTCCTATACCATCGAGAAATCGTCCCAGTCTCATTTCCTTTTTTAAAAAAATGTAATTTTTTTGCATGAAATTTTTTAAAGTTATAATGTTTTTTTTTTATTGGGCTTCTAAAGATAAAAACATTATAAAAAATATTTTGTTAAAAGCTCAATTATATAGTGTAAAAAATGACAAAAACAATACTATAATAAAAATATTGTAAAAGAAACATTATAGAATGGCTTTACAAATTATTTTATTAAGGAAGGAGATTTTGTTAAGATAACACTGCAACTTAAGAGCTAAAAATCACTATAAAAATAATTATTATTAATAAGTGAATTGAATAATCTAATAATAATTATTAATAAATAATTTTAAAAAAACCCTGGGACAGGATGACCCTGTCTCGTAGTCGTCCCATTTTGAAATTTTTTTTGTCACATTCTGTCTTGTCCCAAATTAATCAGGACCGGGATGAAATGGTTGAGATGAGACAAGTTGAACACCCCTATATAATCCTATCATGTTCTTCAAGGCAGAATAATTTTTCTAGCGCATGAGAAGATTAACTTGGTGTATATAAGTTAATAATTAATTAAATTATAATTTTACGCATGACCAATTAAAAAAAAAAACTCTCCTTTTAGCATATTTTTAATTGACTTGCTTTGATTTTAAATACGAATTTTTTTATATGTGGGAAATAAATTCTAATAGATAAAGTTTGAATAGTATCAAAGTGGACCAAAAAAGCTAAGTTTTTATAGTAAAATTCCTTGAAAAGATACTTAAATAGCCTAAATTTTTATTTGGGTTATTAAATTTGTTAAATTCCTAATTAGATCACATAACCTAAAGAGAGATTTTAAAATTTTATGAAATGATTCTAATACTCCTTTCATTTGAAAATCAAAAGAGAATTCTAAATTAACATATTTCATTTTTGCAATTAACATGTTTTAATTCTAAATTAACAACTTTTTGTCCCCATAACACTTTGAATATAACTTGATCACAATACAATCTTAAAAATTAATATGTTTCATTTCACATTTAACACATTTCAATTCTAAATTTACAAATGTTTGTTTCCATAACACACTTGCAATAAGTCATTGAATACTACTTGATTACAATACAATCTTAAAAATTAATATATTTCAATTCACAGCTAAACACGTTTCAATTTGAAATTAATAACTTTCTGTCTCTATAACACATTGGTGATAAGTCTTTAAATAAAACTTTACATTAATACAACATTGAAAATTAATATGTCTCATTTCAAAGCTAACACGTTTCAATTATAAATTAACTTTCTGTTAGGATAAAACTATTAGGATTAAGGGAGGGAGATTTAATGTAAAAACTAACTCATTGTTGCTTTCTTGATTGACTTTCCAACTTTGTAATGGTAGGCACTAAGTTTTTGTTGTTCAGAGCTCTTACTTAATACATGAATGATAAAAAATACTCATCAGTCATCACTCTAGGTTTCTAATGAAAGGGGCACTAGAGTCATTTTATAAAATTTTAAAATGCCACTTTTGGTCACATGACTAAATTAGGGATTTAACAAATTTAGTGACTCAAATAAGGATTTGGATTTGGATTATTTACGTATCTTTTTAAGGGGATTTTTCCAATTTTTATTACATGGCGATAGCTAGGTTTGATTTTGAATCCTGATCCTATAGTAATGATTTTCATTTTACATATAAATGGTCATAATAGTGAATTGATAACAATCATTTAACGCGAATTAATATTTTAATGTAGTTGATATTCCGTATTTTCATAACATTCAATTAATTAAATAAATACATTATTATAACTAATAAACAAAAACCTTTCTTTTTAATATCTTTTTTAATTGATCTATTTTATGGAGAACCCACAAAAGAGTTTCAATTACTAAATCTAAAGTAAGAAATTTCTACAAAAATATATTGTTATTTGCAAATCTAGTGTTATCAAAATGTATTAAAGTGTTGTTATTGAACCTAATTTGAGATTTAGTAATTCAAGCTTGTTTTTGCGGGATTCTGTCTTTATTTTATCTTTAAATACATATAAAAATATAATTGAACTCTCATTTAATTAAATTTAAATCTTTTTCTTTTACCAATCCTCCACCTGATCCTCTCATATTTTCTCAATTTTTTCCCTTCAATTTTTTCTCTCACTAAAAAATGGGGTAAATCTTTCATTGACAAGTTAAAAAAAAGTGCCTGATTTATTTCAGAATTAATCCAAATAAAAGATTGTCACTAACTAGCAATACTAGGTAGTTGTTGAAAGTGCCTTTCGGCAGTGATATCTAAAGTTGCCACTAAAAATGTGTTTTTAACATCGGCTTATTTTGTTGTCATCAATGAATATCAGCAACAGCCGTTGAGACAACGATTTGGTGGCAACAAAAATGTCACTACTAAAAACCATCAAAATTGACTTTTTGACTTTCACACCGAAAGTCAAACTTTTTGTAGTGCTCTCGTGAACCAAATTTTGCAGTCCCCAAAACATTGCTATCACTATATGAAATAGAAAACAATGACAATAATACTTATAATTAATTGGGGGAAATATTACAAATATTTCTAATCATCTTAAATAAGTAAGACCATCACATTTATGATTTGTTTTAAAAAGGTTAAATATAGATTACACCATAATTAAATGAGTTAAAGAAGACTGAATTTGAACGTTAGAAAATGGAAGACTGAAATTGGACTGAATCATTTAATATCAAAATTTGAACTTGATCATGATCACTAATTACGGAGATTTTGTTACATATTCATCCTGTTTATAAGGAACTGTAAACATGTTCTAAAAAATCTTAAATTTCAGAGTAAAATATACTGACCACCTTTTTATTTTACCTCAATTATAAAACTCTCTCATCTATTTTGAAAACATATATAAACCTCCCATAAAATTAAAACGTATATTGCACAAACTTCCATTCTCTATCTAAGATTTCATTTTCATCCACCAAAACTATTATTTCATTGTTAAGTTTTGACTTTAAATTAATTTTTTGACAAAAATGCCCCTTTTTAACTTAATAATTATTAGACAACATATTTTCCAGAAATGTTTTTATAAAATTAAAAAATAATTATACTACATATATTTTTAAAATTTTTAATATATTCTAAAATTTATTAATTTTGATTTAAATCATAAAATTTTGTAATTTTAATTCTTTATCACCTTCGTTAGAAATTATTTATTTTGATTTCTTTTAAATTGTAAAAACATATTTCAAATACATGGTTTTTGTTTATTATAAAGTTTAAATGATATAGGTTTGAAGGATTTTATAAATTATTTGAATGTATAATTCAAAACTTTTAAACACATCTTTTTTACAAAAATTTTTAAAATATTTATTAAGTGTGCGTATATATTTATTTAAAAATTAGTTAAATTTTTAATCGATTCTTTTGTGTTTCCCTTAACTAAATGAAATTCATGTAACTATAAAAATATTATTTAAAAATTTATTAGAATGAGAGTAAAATAGTAAATAAGTTTTATTTTAATATAAATTTCAGTTAAAAATAATATTTTTATAATCTTTTTTATAATATTCGTAACAGTGTCAATTAATTGGATAAACTGCATGTTTTTAAAATAGATGGGAGGTATATGTAATTGATGCAAATTAGGAGGGTAATTAGAGTATTTTACTTTATACTTTATTAACTTTGTCTTAAAATTTAATAATATGTTAACTTTATTCCTATTTAAAATATTAAGAAGTTCAAAAAATGACAGTTTACAAAGCAATAAATTATAAATAAAATTTGACATTCACATAATAAATTTAATAAGGTGACTTTTTATTAAAGGAAAAAAAAACTCTCTTTCTATCCTATAAATAGGACAAAATAGACAACAAACATTTCGTCGGTTATATTCATTAGCCTCTACTCATAATCTGTTAATTAGCTGGAGCATGTGAATGTTGACAAAATGGCATGTACTTTGCCAAAAAAAAAAGAAGATATTTTTAAAATATAAAATGATGAAATGTAATAAAATTTATTATCAACATAGAAAAAAAAATATTATGCTCAAAATTGTCTTCTTGCATGTATATATAATATGTAGCCTAATTGATTTTGGTTCTATTTTTATCCATACGATAAAATTAATCTAAGTGTCTTTTGAGAGTCAGATGGTAAAATTACAATAATAACTTACGTATTAATTTTCCCAATGAAATATTTACTTCCAATGGCTTGATATGCATGAGCATGACTCATTGCCATCAACATTCATATATAATTAAATCAACCTTATCAACTACAAAATATCTAGTTTGTTTCCTAACCGATGAGCTCAAAGTTTACATTATGGTAACTTTTGCGTATATAAACCTCTAAGCACAGAGGACAACTTGCGAAAGATCAATCTGTTACTAACTTTCTTTTCAAATCCTGCCATGGCCATTTCCAGTACTCAAACCTTTCTCTCTAGGGTTTTCATCCTATTTCTTTTTTTCCAATCCCAAACCTTCACGGTTCAGCCTCGAAGCTTGAAACCCCATGGACGTCTTGCTTTTGCTAGAAGCTACCTCAAGGCATACGGCTATCTCAGTGATGATCATCACCAACATGATGATGGTAACGATGTTATGGAATCAGGAATAAAGAAGTTTCAAGAATTCTATAGCCTTAATGTTTCTGGAAAACTTGATCATGAAACACTAGAGGCAATGGATCAACCCAGATGTGGAGTTCCAGACGAAATGCTTAGTAAGAAGAGTTTTCTCAATAATTCAAAGTTCTCTTTTTTCTCAGGAAAACCTACATGGCCTTCTTCTAAAAGAAACCTCTCATACGCTTTCAAATCTGGGGTTGATGTTGTGCCATTAGACGTTTTGAGGTCAGTTTTTCTCATAGTATTTGCACAATGGTCCGGCGCCACCAAATTCACATTCAATGAGGTTGTTATTGAGAAAACTGACCTCACAATCGGCCTTTATCGTGGTGCTCATGGCGACGGTAAGCCGTTCGACGGCCCAGGACATATTTTGGCACATGCTTTTGCACCAACCGACGGAAGGCTTCACTATGATGCCGACGAGAAATGGAGCGACCAGAACCCGACACCGGCCGGCCAGTTCGATTTGGTGTGGATAGGTTTACATGAAGTAGGCCACCTTCTGGGACTTCAACATAGCAAGGATCCAAATGCAGTGATGTATGCCTTTATGCAACCTGGAAAAAGTAAGAGGGCTTTGGGTTCTGATGATATTGCGGGCATAAAAGCCTTATACCCTAATTAATTAAGAAAGCTTTTGAATAATTAATAAAAATTTTGGTTCCTAAATATATAATAATTAAGCAACTATCCCATCACACTACTTAGCTTGGGGCGTGGGATATTATTGTAAAAGATCCTAGTATCAATCTTGTCATTTCCGTTCTTATGGTTATTAATAACTAATCATGTTTATTTTAGTGTTTTATTAATTTATCTCTTTTAGATTTTTTTTTGTTGAAGTAATAAATATGACAGAGGGAGCATAATAAGCGGAAAAATCAATGGAAATAATTACTTCTCCATTTCTTTATACAATGAAATATGCACGTAAATAGTTTTCTTAGAACAGGCAGGTTAAAATTAGTTGTTCTTAAAATTACCACGTTTTTCTGAAAATGTCATTAATTACAGGGTAAAGGTGCACCCAACATTCTAAGCTATTTTTGAAGATGCATCTAATATCATAAATTATTAAGTGGTGCAATTTTATCCTCAATCTATTAAAACAGGTGCAATTTCACCAAAAACTAACGGATTCTAAAACGTCTGTTTCGTCCCATCTTCCTCCCCCTCTGCTCCGTCCGTCTCTCCCCTTCTCGTTCCTTTCCCTTTCTTCCCTTTTGCATCCATATCTGATTTCTTGGAATTTATACTTGATTTACATCGGCTTCCCTGTACTGTGTTTACTTGGTGCGCTAACAATTACATCCATCTGAGATTAACTATTGTGCAAAATCTTCCAACACCATGGTTACCACTATTACGGATGTGCAGAGCTCTACCCAATCTAAATATTCCTCAGCTACACACATTATGTCCTTCTAGTATTAATTTTTCTTTTTGCAGAAGTCCTTCTAGTATTAATGAGGTGAAGTGTTTTTCTTCCTCTTTTTTTTTTTTTTAATATTGATGTTGGAAATTTCACAGCGAGAGAATGAGGAGGTCTATTCCATGCCTTCTCTCGAGAGATTTTCCATCAGACAGCTGTAATTGATATTAGCATGAGATTGTTGGTAAAGACCTTTTAGCAGATGGACGCAGCGGCATTAAGGTTCTTGTTGAACCAAACTTCTTCCTAATTTCCTTTTTGACTCAACGCGAGTTACACTTCCTCTTCTTTCTTTTCTTTTGCGGTTTCTTACTTGCTCCCTATGATTCCTTCTTTTTTCTTGTCTTGGATTGTTCGTTCTTGCTTGCTTTGTTCTTAAATGCAGAAAGAAAGAAGGGGAAAGGAAGGAGAAAGCAGGGAGAGATGGACGGAACAGAGGGAGAGCAAGATGGAGAAAAAGGACGTTTTGGTTTCCGTTAACTTTAGATGAAATTACACCTATTTTAATAGATTGGGACAAAATTGCATAACTTAATAATTGAGGGTGTTGAATGCACCTTCAAAAATAGTTTAAGGTGCTAAACGTACTTTTATCCTTAATTAAATGTTATAAACTTTAATCTAATTAACATCTTAGTCATCTCCTTCAGTCTTACTTAACCATATCCCCATTAAGAGTACTCTTGAAAAAATATTAATTGCCTTGTATATTTTATAAATTGACTTATAAGTTCATATATATACATATGTGTGTGTGTGTGTGTGTGTATAAACATGCGCACACAGAGTAAATACTCGTTCATCAGTCTGAGGGTGGAAAGCAGACGAGAACTTCACTTGTGTACCGAATAGCTTCCAAAGGGTCTTCCAGAAATAGCTGACAAACTTGACATCCCTATCAGAGACGATAGTGGTAGGCAAACCGTGAAGACGCACAACCTCTCGAAAGAAAAGCTTTGCCAGATGTGAGGCATCGGTAGTCCTACTGCATGGAATAAAATGTGCCATCTTTGAGAATCTATCAACCACAACCAAGACAAAGTTGTGCCCTCTCACTGTCTTAGGCAATCCAAGCACGAAATCCATGCTAATGTCCTTCCAAGGTGCCTCAGGAACAGGAAGAGGCATGTACAATCCAATATTCCTCTTCTTTGCTTTGGCCGTATGGCATGTACGACACTAGGAAAGGATTCGAGCAACATCACGCTTAAGGGAAGGCCAGTAGAACCTATCTTCAACCAGGACCGTAGTCTTCTGAACGCCGAAGTGTCTGGCTAACCCTCCAGCATGCAATTCCCAAACAAGAAAATCGCGTACTGACGTGCGGGGAATGCACAATCTTGTCCCACGGAACAGGTAGCCATCATTGATAAGGAAATCCACATGATCGTGGCGGTTGCCATCTTTAACCTCGTTATAAATGATGCCAAAGTCAGGACACGAGGTGTACTCATCCCTGAGCCGGTCAAAGCCCATGACACTAACCGTCAGAGTGTTGAGAACGTGGATTCTTCGACTAAGAGCGTCAGCTACTTTGTTCTCTACCCCTGGGCGGTGCTTGACCACGAAGGTAAACTCCTGAATGAATTCGCTCCACTTGGCATATTTGGCATTCAAATGCCGTTGGGAGCTAAGGAACTTGAGAAACTGGTGGTCTGAGTATATGACAAACTGTTGGGGAAGGAGGTAGTACTTCCAATGCTCCAAAGAGCGAACAATGGCGTAGAACTCTTTGTCATACGTGGAGTACTTTTGCTTGGCCTCATTGAGCTTCTCACTGAAGTAGGCGACAGGGTGGCCTTCTTGGCTGAGAACGCCTCCAATCCCAACCCCGGATGCATCGCACGCAACTTCAAAGCACTTGTTGAAATCAGGTAAAGCCAGGACGGGAGCACTCGAGAGTTTCTTCTTAATAGTGCTGAAAGCTGTGGAGGCCATGGGAGTCCAGTTGAACTTATCCTTCTTCAGGCAGTCAGTAATTGGAGACATAAGTATGCTGAAGTCTCTGATGAAACGCCGATAGAAAGATGCAAGCCCATGGAAGCTACGTGCTTCATGCAGTGTCTGCGGTTCTGGCCAATCTTGAATAGCTCAGACTTTCGCAGGGTCGGCAGATAAGCCTTGTTTCGAGACGATGAATCCGAGAAACATAACTTGGCTCTGTAGGAAGGAGCACTTTGGTAGGTTGAGATAAAATTTCTCCTTCCGCAGGGTCAGAAGCACCTGTCTAAGGTGGTGCAAGTGGTCATCTCTGGACTTACTAAAAACCAGGATGTCATCAAAATAGACAACCACGAACTTTCCCAGATAGGGCTGCAGCATATGCGTCATTACTCGCATAAATGTGCTCGGGGCATTTGTTAAGCCAAATGGCATAACGAGCCACTCGTACAGTCCATCTTGTGTCTTGAATGCGGTCTTCCACTCATCTCCTGGTCTGATTCGAATCTGATGGTAACCACTACGAAGATCAAGCTTGGAGAACCACTTAGACCCAAACATGAAATCAAGCATGTCCTCTAACCTAGGGATCGGGAACCTGTACTTGACAGTTATCTTGTTTATGGCTCGACTATCAACACACATTCTCCACGAGCCGTCTTTCTTCAGAGTCAGAAGGGCAGGGACAGCACAAGGACTGAGGCTATGCTGGATATAGCCCTTCTCAAGCAAGCTGTTAACCTGACGATTGAGCTCTTCCCGATCTTTAGGGTTCATCCTGTAGTGTGGAAGGTTGGGGAGCTGTGATCCTGGAACCAAATCAATTGCATGCTGGATGTTCCTCATGGGTGGCAAGTTAGGAGGTAACTCCTCAAGTGCAACATCTTTAAACTCGTCCAAGAGTTGGGTTACTTCTTTTGGGAAGTTGTCGGGTATTGGTGCAGGAGGAGAAATGACTTTAGAAACAACAGCAAGGATGACATCACCCTCTCTACTTTCTTCGATGAATTGCTTTTCCGTGAGGAGGTGAAGGTTGATAGGTTTAGAAGTGGATCCTTTCGTAGGGATTAAACCTTTTGCTTTAGGCTCAGGCTTTGCAGGACGGAGTAAGATGGTCTTGCCCTAATGCTTGAAGATGTGGTTGTTCGCTCGGCCTTGGATAGTGACATCATGGTCATATAGCCACGGGCGTCCTAAAAGAATATGAGACACATCCATAGGAATCACAACACATAAAACATCCTCCTTGTAGTCACCCAACTGGAGTGGAACTCGACACTGCTGAGTGATAAGCAATGAAGTGTTATCAACCCATGCAACTCGGAAAGGCTTAGCAATTTGCTCCGTCTTAAGTCCAAGACGAGCAACACCTCGACTAGAGATCACATTCCTTTCACTTCCACTATCAATAACTAGCTTGCATGACTTATCACCGCACTTCACGAAGGTGTGGAAGATACTGTTCCGTTTCCACAAGTCATCTGGCATTGGGACAGTCAGGAGGCATCGCATCACTCCAAGATGACCCAATGGCATGTCATCACAATTAATTTCGTCGTCCACATCAGAAGGAATATCGACAGGGTCGATGACGACGTTTGGCTCGCTCTCGAGTAGTGCATCATCTTGAGATTCGATAAGCAATGCACGTTGCGGGCACTTTGAAGCAATGTGTCCCTTAGAGTGACACTTGAAACACTCTATCGATGGGCTACCTGTGCGAGCGTTTAAGGCTAATGACTCTCTTGGTCTAGAAGCGCTTGGTCCTGAAAATTGTTGACTTACCCGCTGATTGCCCGAAACAGTGGAGCTGCGTGTTAGACAAGATTCTAATCCAGAGAAGCTGGGACGCCTGAAAGAGGGATACTTAGGCAGGGAGTCAATGTCGATAGCCTTATGATATGCTTCCTCTAAAGTGTAAGGACGGTTTACTTTGAGCTCCCTCTGTATGTCATCCCTAAGGCCGCTGATGAACCTCTCAATAACCACAAAACTCGGCTCATTTAAGTCATTGCGGATCAGAAGGTCATCGTATCGAGAGACGTAGTCGACTGCCGATGAGGTTCCTTGCTTGAGGTTGTTCAATTGGTTGAAAAGCATGCTTAAGTGACTGACCGGCACGTACTTTTCCTTAAGCTTCAACTTCATCTCCTCCCAAGTAGTGACAGGAGGTTGCCCTAGGCGTTCAAGGTTCGTTTGGACAAACTGCCAATACTTCCTTGCAGATCCTACGAGCTTCATCTTGGTAAAACGAACACGTTGTATGTCACTCATATTGTACCACTCGAAGTAGTCATCCATGGTGGCTAACCAATCGAGGAAGGCATTCACATCTAAACGACCATCAAAGTCAGGTGCCTCAACTTTAACCCTCTTCGTCGCATCATCATTGTAGTCTTGCCGAGGGGTGTCTCGGTATCGTCTGGGCGGCGACGGTTCTCGTCCATACCTAGGGCGCGTGGCGTATCCTCCATAGGCTCGTTGGTTCACAACATGGGATTCGTAGCGAGCCTCTGTCCCTTGCTCATCCCATGGGTTGTCCTCTTCCTCGAACTGTGGGGGAAGGGTCTCAACGTGTAGCGGTTTAGTCTGCGGGTTACGTAGCCCTATAGACAGTTGGGAGCCTCTAGTGTGAGATGGTCCAATGGTGTCGAACTTAAGGTGCGCTTGATTGGTCTCAGGTACATTTCCAAGAATCCCTTCTGCACCTTTACTAAATACATGCCTATCAATTCTTAGGAGAGAATCTCTAATTTCTTGCTGGGAGGTCCTAAGCTCTTGATTAGATACCTTAAGCTCCTGAGTAGTGGCTCTAAGCTCCTGACACTGGGAGTTATATTCTTGCTTAATCTTGGCCAAAGATTCCTTAAGGCATTTGGTAAGTTCATTCAGTTTTAGTTCAAAGGTCTGAAGTCTCTGGTCCATTTGGGATTGAAGGGAGCTAACACGAGGTTCTAAAGATTGACGTGCTTGGTCTAAGGTGTCTTGTCTATTTTCAATATCACGAATAGTCATGCAATAGATAGACGAAAGCTAACAACAAATAATGAAGCAAGTAAAGAGCTACTAATAAAATGAAAATAAATTCTTCCTCCTTTTTTTTTTTGCTTTTTTTTTTGCTTTTTTTTTTGCTTCTTTTTTTTTCTCTTTTTTTTTAAAACAAATGAAAATGCTAATAAAATATAATATCTACGGTAGACAGTAATCAATAAAATGGCAAAAGCAAACTAGTAACCTCCAATATGTCAAACTAGTCACAGTAAGTTAAAGAGAGGGTCAATTGCGCCTTACCAACGCACTTAAAGAGACCAGAAAAAATTACCCCAAAGTGTCTAAATGATTCTGTGGCCGAAGTGAAAATTTTGACAAAATCCGGGTCCAGAAGTGTAATTTCCTCCAACGAATAGGGTCAAACAGTAAAATTTCGAAACCTGGGGTGAATCCGAAATTTTCTGGAAATTATGGGCCGACTGTGTAATTTTCGCTAAAACTGAATCTGAGCCGCAGAGGCACGGAGGCGCGTGGATCTCATGCGCAGAGATTCTTCCGAAGCGTGTAGGCGCGTGGAATCTCTGTTGACCGTGAAATTCTGGTGGCTGGCTGTGTTCCTCGTGACGAAGGCGATGGCGGTGGTTTCGTGGCAAACGGAAGTCGGACGAGTGAGATCTGGGCCTTTAAAGTGACGCTGACGGTGACGCTGGCTCGTGGAGGCTGTTTCCTGTGGTTTCTGGTTGTGAAACTTTGAGATCTGGACGGATTGTTGCCTACGGTGAGAATGGAAGTGGCGGCGCGGTGAACGGTCGTCAGAAAGTGAGCGAACAATGGTGAAGGAACGGCAGCCGTGGGTTGTTTGACTAAGGGCGTGTTTGGGCGTTTCAAAAATCAAAAGGCACAAGGGAAACCAGGCTCTGGTACCAAAATTGATGTAAAACAAGAAAGGATTGGAAGGGATGAGAGGTTAGAGAAGAGGAAGAAGAAGAGAGGAGAAGTAGAGAAGCAGGGAGAACGGGAGAAAACTGATCGATAAATTCTAAATGCCAAGTCTGATTACAACTGAAACCCTAGACTATTTATAAGGAAGAAATAAAATAAATAAAAGAAATAAAATGAGGAAAGTGGGGGTGAGTGGGGTAACTGCCCACTCTCTAAATAAAACAATAATAAAATAATTAGTTAATCTGCATCAGATACGTTTTCATAAGAAAGTATAGGTAGCCACTAATACAGAATAAAGAGACTTTCCCTGGGGTTTGAGTCAAAGTTAAGAGACTCCCCCACTAGAGAGTAATGGCAAGAGTTGAGAAAGCCAAATAGGGACATAAGTCTAATCTTTATCATAAAGGCAAAGTGGCGACCTAAGCGTTTGAATAGTTAAACCAGCCTTGAGAGAGATAAGGCAGTATCATGAGTTCTCTCCTTGTACCATCTAAAGTTATTAGAAGTGGTAAGACCCTATACTAAGGCAGGGCAAGTATAGTATGTGGTAAGACCCTATACTAAAGCAGGGCAAGTATAGTATGTGGTAAGACCCTATACTAAGGCAGGGCAAGTATGTTATGTGGCCTAAGCAAAATGTTAACTCTAATGGCCACAAGGATGAATAAATAGCTCAAAGAGCTAGGTCGACATGGTGGACGAATTGATATAAAGCTTGAGAAAGTGGAGAATAAGATAATGAAGCTAAATAAGAAGTGTAAGGAGATAATGTTGAAGTTTCCAAAAGGAATGAGTAAGGCCTAAGAAAGCAATACGGGTATCTAAGATCAGTTTTGGAGAATTATCAGTATGGTTGCTAGATTTCATAGAGATAAAGTTATTCTATAGCCTCATTCTTTGGTCTTGAAATTCCCAGAAAGGGATCACAGTTAGATCCACGAAGTAGGCCTAGTGAGATCATACTTAGATCTCCATATCACAATTAGATCTCATGGTCATAGAAGACCTGAAGGAAATTTACTGATGCCCAAAATAAACAGTTTTCTCTGGGAAGACAATGACCTCAGATGAGTTTAGAATATAAGATTTTTTGAGTCTGGTTAACCATTACAGAGAGAGTATCTCTGACTTTTCTTCATATAGCCAAGTTGTTAAATAGACCGAGCTCAATTCTAATTGGTCAACAAAGGAAAGTAAGAGTTAACAGAGTGTTGAGCTGCAAGTCTCAAGTAGAATGCATTTAGGCAAGCTAAGTTTGGGGTAAGAAAGTAAGAGGAACAGAAAAAGTCCCCAAATATTATATGAATAGATTGAGTACTAAGAGATAATGCCAAAGGTAAGGTAGAAAATAACAAAGTAAGATTTTCAGAATGGTTGATACCATTAATATGTTTTGATTGATGCTAAATACTCGGAATCGTTGATGTGATTAATATATCTTGGTGGATGCCAGGTACTCAGAATGGTGGATGCCATTAACATGTTTTGATTGATGCCGAATACTTGGAATCATTGATGCAATTAATATACCTTGGTTGATATTAGGTACTCAGAATGGTGGATATCATTAACCAGTCTTAGTTGATGTTAGATATTCAGTATTGTTGATGTGATCTATCACGACATGAGTTAGAGCACTGAGAAAACTACATAGTTAACCAAGAAGGCTGTTAACATTCAAGGTGGGAGACCATGTTTCCTCAATGTATCCCTAACTACATACATAGGTCGATCTATAAAGATCAAGGAAAAAAAAAAAACTATGCTGATAAAAGAAGGAGACCGTTAGAATTTGAGGTTGAAGATCATGTTTTCTTGAAAGTAGCACTGACTACGGGCATAGGAAAATCAAAGAAAATGAGGAAATTAAATCGAAGTTACATAGGACTATTTGAAATTCTTGCAAAAGTAGGCCCAGCGTTGTATCAGATAGCTATACCTCCATAGTTGAGTAAGTTATACAATGTTTTTCACGTGTCACAACTGAAAAAGTATTAACCAGACTAAGAGCATGTCATTGAATATGAAGAAATTGATGTACAAGATGATCTGACTCATGGCATGCAACCCAAATGAATCATTGGTAGACGGGAAAGAAGGTTAAGAAATAAAAGTATTTCGTTCATGAAAGTGGTCTGGAAAGAATTTTTACTACGAGAAGCCACATGGGAGGTAGAAGAAGAAATGCAGAAGCAATATCTAGACTTTATGCCTCAAGATAATTAACCAAATTTTGAGGACGAAATTTTATTTACGGAAGAAAATTGTAACATCCCGAATTTTCTGAACTCAGGATGAGCAGAAAAGAGAAAGTTCATTAAAATTATTTAATAGCTCAATCACAATTGGGGAAAATTATGGAATATTGATTTTTCAAGGTCTAGAAATATTTTGGAAAAGTTCATTCCCTAAAAAGTGGCTTAAATAATTTTAAAGCTATTTTCATAGCAAAATGGGTTATTTTCTTAGAAAATTCTAAGAAAAATATTTAGAGGTTTCTAATTAACTAGAAAACTTTAGGAAAATTATTTTATGAGGCAAAGAAGTTATTTGAGGCATAAAATCCTTAAAATGGGTTAAGGATTAATTTCTAGAATTAAGGACTGTTTTCTTGGAAAATTCAGGAAAAATAGCTGGGAGATAATTTTTGGCCCGAAATTTTTATGAAAATTACTTTAAGGGTCACAAAAGCTATTGGATGAGGAAAATCCATATAAAATACTATGGATTAATTTTTGGATTCACAAATTCAGGAAATTATGTGGAAAGGGGGAATAAGAAATAAGGAATAATTAAAGGCAAAATGGTCCATTGCCTCGTGTGCACAGCTGCACGTGTTGCTCCATCCTTATAACCATCATAATTCATTTTCCTTTCCCCATTTCATCACTGCCTTAATCTTAAAACGGAGAGAGACCAGAGAAAAACTAGAGCTCGATGAAGAAGTGTCGGAGGCCGTGATCGGATGTATTTGGGTCACATGCAAACCGATCAACCTTACAAGGTAAGCCTCCTGATCATTCTCCTACCCTTTTCTTTTTGGTTTTGTGCGTGGTTTGGCTGCAATGGAGGAGAGAGAGACTTGGGGTGGAGAGAGAAAGTGAAGGAAAGGAGAGAAAGATCAGTGAATTCATGTTATATGGCAAGACTGAAGTAAATGACGCTGGTTTTTAAGCTTGCATGTCACTATTATCTCTGTTTCATGAATTCCTGAACAGAGCGTGTGATTTCTGGGTTCATAGGCATCGGGTTTGAGGTATTAGGAGAGAGGAAACGTGTATTATATGAATATGAAGTTGCATGTTGATAATGGTGGTTGCATGTGGATTTCTTGCTCTGTTTTTGTGAGCCGAAACAGAGCTTTAACTTTCTGGTTATGGGGTTATATGTTGGGTCTTTCAGAACTGAAGGAGTGTAGGTATATACATATATGTATATATATATCGGTTTGAATAAGGCTTACTCCTCTATCCTAAGTCAACCGTATTGTTGGAAAAAAAAATTTAGTAGGAATTATGGATTGAGGTTTTGTGTGCAGGGGAGATTGAAGTAATATATATATTTATATGTGTGTGTTTCGGGTTCTAAATGAATTGAAGGAAGATGATGATTCTGCTGCTGAATGGAGTTGAGTTTGGATATATATATATATTAGTGAATGTGTGTGTGTGTGTGTGTATGGGGAAAAGCCGTGGGAAGTATGAGTGGAAAACATTGAAATTGAAATGGTTAATTGGGAGGAAGTCTAGGCATGATGATATATATATATATATATATATATAAGAGTCTATGTGTATAAGTGTCCGATTGGTTCAGTGATTTAAGAAGAAAAAGTTGCTGCAGTAAATATTAATTAATATGGGAGGAAGATGAAGACATATACGGATATAGATAAGGTTACACTTGGAGATTGGAGTTCGAATGTTCTCTGGTATTTTTGTTGTGTTTGGCCGAAAGGGAGTTTATATTTGCGTGTTATGGGGGCTGAGAAATCCAGATTTTTAAACATAAAGAGAGTTTGATGCTCCTAGAATTTGAATAATATTGCTGTTATTACATAATGATTTCAGCTAGTCATA